AAAAAGAAAAGTTGTACAAATGCTGATACATTCATTTCTTATCTTTATGTGATGATTTATGTGCATAAGCATAAACATAAACAAACACTCTACGCACTTGTTTTATCGACGCAATCTCGATAAAATAAATAAAAGTAAATAAGCGACCCCCGTTCCATAATTCATCAAATCGTTTATTGACGACAGCCGTAATTAAAAGGTTATGGCACTCAATTTGTTGTTGTAAAATCAAAATTGTACAGAGAAGTTTCGTTTCTATAAGGTTACTCTTTTAATGTATGGCAAGGGCTTTTCTCTCATCATGTTTACAGTAGATAAGTATACTCTCTTCTTTACCGTTTAGTCAGGTGACATTGTAACTTATCGATAGTCGATAAACGTTGCATGTATTGTGCATACGTCATATAACATGTCCTTGGTGCCCGTGGAGGTTGTTGGGCGGTGCTGCTAATGAGAAATGGAATCGTAGAAGGAGTAGGAAAGAGTGGGAGATACATCTTGATCTGGCTACACTGTGAGGAATCCTATAAAAGATGAAGACGGACATTATTGATCCATGGTGTGGAATAGAAACTCCAGAGATCAATGACAATAAATGCGTTGATCATTTTGAAGATTCCTTTGTGGAGTGTCAGTCAGAGCACTTAAAATTAGCCGATTCGGAGGAGTATTTGAAGAAACTTTGTAAGCAGTTAATATTTTTTACTTGTTTTGAAAGATTTAATGAAAATAATGCTGAACATATTGTAGCCATTATGCTTAGTTGTTAATTAATGACCTTGTTTCATTTTTTACATATTTTAAGTATGGTATGGAAGTGTATAAGACTTTTGCAATACGTTGTAGATACTAAACTTAGGAACCTTCAGAAAGGAACATCAAAGAAAGATTTGATAACATCATTAGTAGAAGTAAAAGAAGATTGTATTGCTCGTTTAATAACATCTGGTTATAAACTTGAATTAGAAGAGGAAACTGAGTTAACTTCAAATCCTTTGATAAGACACATAGCACCTCATTTACAAGTAACTATAATAATACTAAATGTAGTTATTTCAGGATTGAAATACTTTGTATAAAATAATATATTTATACTTTTAGGCCTTAACTACCAGTGAATCAACTCATCTTTTAAAAGCAGACATTCTTCAAGTAATCACAGAAAACGAACAAGAGAAAGAAATAGAAAAAGCATTTACAAATAAATAAAATCTAGTTGTCAGATTAAAAGTTCATAGTAAGAATTTATTTTCTTAATCAAATATGCCGAAAAAATCATTATCCGGAAAAGTATTCCTATTAATAACCGGCGCAAGCCGTGGAATTGGGAGACAAATTGCAATATCATTTGGTTCGATGCTAGAAGAGGGTTCACATGTTGTTTTATTAGCAACAAATTTGAATGGTTTAAAAGAAACTGCTAAAAATATTCCCAATAATATATCTGTGGACACTGTTAGTGTTGATCTAAGTAAAGCAACAAAAGAAGAATTAGAGAGTAAGTATAATTATGCATGTATATTGTGAAAGTGATAATATATAACTTAAAATATTAAAGAGTTATGAGAAATAGCATTTTAAATATTTTTGAAAGCAAAATGATACATTACTTTTTTCGCATAGTCTATCTTTTTTAAGTAATAATATTGAATCATATATATTTTAGGTATTATAATGACTTCTCTGTCTCAAAAGAATAAAGAACCACAACAATTTGAAAAAATGGTTATAGTACATAATATTGGTACCATGGGAAATACTTCTCAAGCTGTAGATGTTGCAACTGATATAACTGCATGGCATAATTATTTTGATTTAAATGTTTTTATTCCTGCTATGTTGAATAATGTTTTGATGAAAATATTTAATGAAGCCAAAAATGTTAACAAAACAGTTATAAATATAACTTCATTATATGCTCTGGAACCATTAAAATTTGCAACTCATTATTGCACTGGTAAAGCAGCACGGGAAATGTTCTTTAAAGTAATAAATTTGTTTATATACACATTAGTTATTCATTACTTAATATAATTGTTACTTATTTTCTAATTTTTTGTTATGAAGGTGTTTGCATTAGACAATCCAGAAGTGGATGTATTAAATTATTCTCCAGGACCAGTTGAAACTGATATGTTCCATGAGTTATGCGAGAAACACAGCGATGATGCAATAAGAAAACAATTCAATGAAGTTGTAACAAATAAAACTATCTTAACGTGTGAACAAACAGTTAACCAACTTGTAAATGTTCTTGAAGCTCATAAATATACATCAGGTGATCATGTTGATTATTATGATCAATTGTAAATTATATGTGAATCTGTTCTGGATTAACCACATTCCAATAATATTTTTATTAAACTGTTTAAAACAACTAATTAAAGTTTTATATTTTATTTCATGTTTGTTCTCACTACATTGTAAAATGTATACAAGGTGTTTGTAATTAAATAATTATTAATAATAAAAAGATTAAAATCTTATTTGGTATTAAATTTTCCTACTTTTTTGTGCGTATCTTTGTACATTTTTTTGTAAATATCATTAAAAATAAAAGATTATTCATTATCTTGTATCAATGGCTCATATACCATACGATTATGCTTTTTATTTTGTCTTCGCATGTTTATCAGTACGAGTATTTCAATAATACAAATTCCAGCAGATACCAGCCAAACTGGTAGAGGATACGTAGGTGGCATAAAATGTGAGTATATCATCCCATACAATGAAGTTGCTGCAGATGGTATTAATGTTTCTATAGATACTACCAATGAAAAAACTTTACCTGCAGAAATGTATAAACATTAATAATTTAATATTAAACAATAATAAATGGAATTAGTTTATATATATATATAAAATACACTAGGCTTCTTATATTTTGTAATATTTGCATTTTGATAATTACAAGAATATTTCTTTACTCGTAAATTTGTCAAGTCTAGCACTTTTATAATCTATTTTCCTTTGTTTTTTTTTATGCGACATTTAAGACATTAATATTAAGTACAATTCATACACATGACAATATCGATATAATTAAAAATTTCATAACGATTTTTACCAGTGTCCTTTGCAGGTATAGATTTAGATAATATAGTACGTATCATTGGAGTAGCAACACCACTGAATGCACCAATAGCTGCTGATAAATACATGTGCCAAGATTTCCATGTAAAACTTTGAACTAACGAGGAACATAAAATTGAAAATAATGATAGCATAGTTATTGCTTCTTCAGAAAATCCTAAAACAATTATTTCTTTTCAAAGATTTTATTTATTACTCCAAATTTATTTGTTAAACTATTTATCATTAAACCTGTATATGTTGTCAAAACATTCACTCCAAATATTATTCCAAAAGTTATGAGAGATAACTTAATTGCTATAAAAATGGAATATTTATTTACATCCCAGCCAAGTCTGGCACTTGTAAATAAAAGTCCAATGTTCATATCTCCTGTCAAAATTAATACTGACAAAATAATGACGATTATGCAGCACCAAACTATGTATCGATTAAAGCCATCTCGTTTTTTAGTACATGTACTAATAAGTTCCTTAACTAGATGTATATCGAACAGACTCCCTAAAGTTATCTACAGAAATAAAAAAAATGTACTAAACAGAAAATATTTGCTAATCCATATTTTAAAATAATATCATTGTTGATAGAAGAATACGTACAGAATTTCTATTGCATATAGTCTCAGGAGTTAAACAGCAAATATAAGATCCTGCTAAAATGCAACATATAGTAGCAATACCAAATACATATGTATATCCATATGTTCGAAAGATAATAGGGCCAATTAATAAACCACTTATAACACCAACAAATATTAAAGTTTCCATCCAAGCTAAATGCTTTGCTCTATCTTGTTCATCTGATATATCAGAAATATAGCAAATAGAGCCCAATAAAATTATACAAAATCCTCCAAAACATGCAGACGGAATATATGCAATTAATAAAAACCATGGACTGATATCCCAAATAGTCATAAAGGAAAAAATGAAATATGTCAGAGTTACACCTGTGATACAAAAATATAACAACAAATTAAAAATATTTTTTAAGATATGATATTAATACTTGAAATATAAATATAATACCTATATATCCCAATATTAATATAGGTTTTCTTCCATGTTTATCACTCCATGGCCCCAAAAATAAAGATAAGAATGCAGGAAAAATACTTTGAATAAAAGTTTGAGAAATTAAAATTACAGTTGCTTCAGGTTGTACTTTTGCATCTATTCTCAATGCTTCTGGAGAACTACTATTTTCATGCATAAGCATACACTCTGACTTATTTATATTTAACGTTACACTACAAACACGATACACTATCAAATCTGTTAAAATATTACCTAAAATTTTAATGTAATATTAATTTTACTTTACTATTAAATAAATAAATAAATAATAGCAAATTAATTTCAACTTGTATAATGTGTTTGAAACATTTAACTTCATTAACATCAAACTCATTAAATTCCTAACAACAAAGAAATATTGTTTTTAAATGGTATCCTACTATTTTGATATTTTGTTAAAATATTTACACAAATATTTAAAAGAAGTATACTGTAATTACTTGATATTGCTTGAGCAAATATTAATATCATTAAAGGTGGTTCCACCAAAACATAACGTTTCCATCCTGTTATTCTTTGATCCATTCTATTGTTTAAAGATTTTGTCTAATAAGTATAAAAATAGCACCAATATTTCACTATAAAAAAAATGATTACTTAAACATTCACAACAATATAGTACATTTAATATAACAAAGCTAATTGCACCTTGCGTGCATTGCAAATTCTTGTCGAAACTGCCATATCTGATTAAATGTCATTATTTAATTCTTTGCGTATTTTAACGCGATACGTCATCCGTTGTAGTCAGCAGATGGCTTTATATTATTATTGTGATTTTTAGTACTGTCAGAATGCATGATAAGGTGAACTTTTATAAATTCTATTCTGTACCAAGTCCTCTCATCAGGATTGAAAACTTTAATGTGCCAGATGAATAATGCAGTTGAACAGCTGACAGGAAAATAGATCCATATTAATAACACGCTAATTAATCGGGAGTATACATATAAACAGATAATATATAGTTTCTGTCATATTGTAGGAAATAACTATATAGTTTGATAACTGATGGGGATAAAATAAGGCGGCTAAGCAGGCAACACTGATATTGTTGTGGATTAGGGGTGTCGAATTACCTCCTCTCAAGTTAATGACTCTGGATCAACAATTTCTCTAAGTACCTACCTACCTATAAAACTTTGTTCAGGAGTAGAGCTCTGAAAGGAATGCGGGTCTTATTGCTTAGCTTCCATCTTTTCTCATCTCATTTTTGATACTAATTTGCTATTCGTTAATACGGTTACACATAACCAATCAAAATCATAAACAACATCTCTAGCGAGAGATCCCCCTTGCATCCCTGCACCGCCCCGGGAGCAATCTTTCAAATACGATAGATACTTTAATCTTGTTTTAATTCTTATAAAATATTCTATGTTTCTGTTACAATTATATTCTTTGTTTCAATTGAATGAAGGAAATGTAATAATGAATTAAATATTTTTCTTAATCATATTATTATAAAATGATATGATAATACATTATTTAAAATAAGTTTGTATAAATGACTAAACACAGTCTTCAAGTTTGCTACATGTCAATGTAGGAAATTATATAACTATTTACCTATTAGGTTAATTTGAAGCTATTAATACGTCGACATTGTAACTAAAAATGAATTCATGAACATAATATTAAATATGATGTTACAGATTTGTTTATATATTTCCAAGCTGTACAAACTTTTTGATACATATTTTTATAAATGCATATACAAAAATAACAATTATTTATGATCGTATTAATTTTATTACATTCATTACACGTATCAAGCAGTTTGCATACCTTTTCTCCTTTTGGGTTTATTATTGTCTAGTGTTTGCTTAAGTATTCTTTTCTGTGAAGAATTTGGGCTAGTCTCTTCGTTTTGTGAATTTCCATTTTGAAATGGTTCAACTTCGCTTTGTTCATTGTGTGAAGCAAAAGCACTGAAGTTAAACGATTCAAAACCTTCTGATAATGTTTTCTCACGTAACAATCGTGCTTCTTTCTTTAATAGTTGTTTTTCTTTCTGTTTACTCTTATTTTTTTTCTTTTTCTTTACCTCGTTGTTCGTTACTCCAGAAGTATTCGAATTACTATGTTTGTCTCCATTTTCTACAGTATTTTCGTTATCTACAATGTTGTTTGACGTGTTTTTCGTATCTCCATTTACTTTATGATTTTGATCGCATGTATCCTTTTTCGTGGATCTGTAAAAGATACAAATGAGAAGCAACGATTATATATTAATACTTAAACAATGTTTATAATTGTTTTAGTTGCTTACATGTTGAATGAAATTCCAATTTGAGATGCTAGCCTATTACACGCTGTTTTTGTGTCTTTTGCAAGTGATACATGAGTTCTGTACATTATTAGTGCTTTTCCAATATCTTTCCAGTTCCATGCTTTTGGCACATGTTGGGTATAAATATGTCGCAACAATACTAAAAGGTGATAAATGTACCTTTGTTTGACTTCTTTCCCTATTTCGTTACCATTATTCAGAGTAGGCTGTTTATTTTCGGTTTTATTTACAGTAGATAATTCTTGAAGAGTACTTATGACATTTTTACATAATTTTTTTTCCATTTTCATTCTAATATCAGAATGTTTTGTATCTAAATGGACCAAACGACTATTATGATAGAAAACTGTTAGGAAGTCAAGTGCATGTCTTCTTCGAAAAGATCTTATAGTAACGTCGAAGGCAAAATCTACCTAAAAAGAAAATAAATAAATAAATATATATATATATATCATTTAAAAACATGAATTCGTTATAGTTTATTTGATAAAAATAGAAGTTTTAAAACGTACCAGTAATGGAGCTAGTTGCCAATTACCCTCCCACTGTAATTGTAATATACTTTTAAATAACACAGGTGATAATACACAATCTCTTCTTTTGAAGAAAACTGTTAAATTTTCACTATAAATTTGCACTATAGATGTAGTAGATATATTAGCTTGCTGTGCACATCTTACAAGAAATGTACAACATTCCGCCAATTTATCACTCATTTCCTGATAAACTGACGTTGTTCTCTCTCCTTTCTCTACTAAAACCTTAAAGAACAAACAATTGTCGATTATGTATTAATTTCATTTTATTATTTGCATTTTCAAATTACTTTTAACTACCTTCAATATCACTATTAATAAATCTTCATCTACATCTTTTGTGTCTTTAAATCTCTTTACAGCTGCCAATTTTTTTAAACAAGACCGAAGTCGGTCTTGAAGAGGTTTTTGATGAGGATCTTTTATACAGTACTCCAGTAATGCGAATAACGGAAGTATCATGTCAAGCACAATTGCCATTGACGGGCCACATTCTAGATACGTTTCTAATAAATCCATTACCCGAATCCTAAAGTGCGTCAAAGCTTGTGCCGATTTTTCTTGCTTCTTTGATCGTGACTGACGATTCTCTCGAAGAATTCTAAATGCTGCTGATAATGATTCGTTTAATCGTTTTCCCTCTTCTTCGTTGATTTCATCCACATCAATGTCTTCATCATCAGTTTGAACAGAAGCTTCACCTAATGCTTGACGCACTGCCATTCGTAATCGATCAGTTACTGTGTCATCTTCATCTTCATTAATTGATTCTTCATTAGACTCGGAATCATTATTATCCATTAAACATTGCGTCTCATCATTGGAAGATTCTTCTTCGGTTTCACTATCATCCTCACTACTATCGTTTGATTCTGTGTCTGATGAGTTTCCTCCACCAGCTTCACCTTCCATTACAAGCGGTCCCTTTTCATTTCTTACATCCAAAACCTGAAAATAACCTTGAAATGTAACACTATTCAATATTTAAAAATCATACTTACATACCTCTAAAATTTGATGTATAGCCGCTGGTGTTATGTATGGACAAATGTGTGGAAAAACACATCCCACCAATGATCTTAATAAATGATCGTTCTTAGAATAAAAAGATAGTAGTAAATCAACTACTACTTCCACCCATTCCGGTTCATTTTCTTGTTTTTCATTGATCTCCACTTTCCTTTTTTGAGACCTTTTATTCAATCTTTCATAACAACTTTGAAGTTCATTGATAGCCATGATTGCCATAGGTGGGTCTGAAAATAATTGTAATCCCATATGTAAATTCATTGTATGAAATACTGGTACAGCCTCTGCCTTTTTCGAATTATTCTCTAACTTTTCAATTAAATTTGTCACTTTCTCCCAAGCTACTTTTGCTTCATCCGATAACGGATTTCTTAGCTTTAAAGTTTTATTGCTCAGATGAGTATCTAAGTAATGAACTAGGTCACTTAATATATTTCGTAAGTTGTTCAGTGTTGGTAATTTGTGATCCAACGCATGGTAAAATGCTTCTTTAAGTTGTGCTACAAACAAAAATAGGAAAATAAAATATAGGAAAAGGAGATATATTGAAAATTATATACAGTAATTTATACTTACGTGCTAGATCTACTCCAACATTTGATATTTCACACAAGCCTTGAGTAAATAAGAATTTTAATTGTTCCAATCTCCACTCTTGATCCATAAGTGTTACAGAATACCCCATTAGTCTATAGACACATAACAAATTACATATTTAATTGCTTTTAAGATTATTACATTAAAATACGAAATTTATTTCCAATAATACCTCTTTAAAAAATTAAATACCTTGTTAATAAACGAGCAGTATAAGTTCTTTCAGTATTTGTCCAAAGTGTCTTTGTTCCTGCATCCAGCATTTCTTTGGATATTATATTTTCAATAATATCTCTGTATATTTTTGATACTTTCTTAATACCTTCTAAACTCAAATTTCCTGTAATCATTTGAACTACTTTTATACCTGTTTTCTTTTCTATCATTAAATCGCCTGGGTACAATATTAATTTCTTTAATACAGCAATTTGCGTTTTTAGCTTAGTATCATTACTACTTGTAGCTGATACCAATAAATGTAAAATTTTCTTAAATGCAATAAGTACTTCATCTTTGTCGTGTCTTTTATTGCCATAAAACTTCCTTAGCATATGTTGCATATAGTTTGAAGATAATAATGATGGAAGTACTGATTTATCTATAGTACTCGATAATATCAATTTGAGAATTTCTACAGCCAAATATTCATCAATTTTTGATGGCTTTGTAAACTTTTGATCTATGTACATCCAAAATTCAGTGATAAGTTCATTTGATATTAAATTTTCACAAACTAATTTAAATACTGGATGGTGACACAATATAACTTTAGGCAAATCCTAAATATTAATAAAATATTAGTTTCTTTATAAAAATAAAAATAAAAATATCATGCTCTTAATGTACACTTACCAGTAATACTTTTACTACGTCAGTCATAGATTCTTTGGTAATAATATCAGCTGTACCAAAACGTTTCTTCCAAAATTTTGTATTTACAATTAGTGGACACTTGCTTCTTATTACTAATAAAGCGTAAATTGTATCTAAAGTTTGCTCTGACCATGGTTTACCAAATTCTACCTCAACTATTGGGTAAATTAATTCTTTAGTTGCCTTTGCATTAATTTGATTTACAAATTCAACAAAAAATGAAATAGTAGGAAATGATAAGTAACTACGTTGTTTGCCCCCCTTAATGAGATCTTGTATAATTTGCTGTTGAATTTCACTTGTACTTTTTAAAAGTATTTTAGATCGAATTAATGCTCCATATACTAGTATACGTCCCATATAAATATCTGCATTTTCCTAAAATAATATTGTTGAATTAAATGGATGATGATGATGATGATGATACATGATAAATATAGTTATAACAAAAATTTGTTACTTACACCTTTGTTGTTGCTGCTGACTGGTTGTAATTCACTGTCTACTATAGACAGTATGTCTTCTATTGACATTTCAGGGTACATTATTAAAAAAACTGTCAAAGTTGTATAAAATCCTATTCTTGAAGAGGTTTTTGATGCACCTAAACCTCGAATTAATCTTCTTATTGCATATTTAAACTCTTTACTATCACTTTCTGCCTAAAATATTAATACTTGTGGATAATTCACTTGTAAGAAAATGCTATGAACATGTTTCGCGCTCTATAAGAACAAGCAAGTTGAGGTTATTTTTAAATAAACACTTACCGAACTTCGTCCAAGCAAATACTTTAATAGTTCGATGCCGCCATTTATTCTGTCAAATTCAGTGTCATCTCTGAGTTTTGTAAAATAATCAAGAATTGTACAGTCCATTTTATTCTTTTTCCTGACTTTTAAGTCATTTGAAACAACCTCTACCATGTGCATACCTTCATCTGCCATCTTGCCTCATTTAACTAAAAACTACGTTAATCTTAAGAATACCCACATTAAAGTATAGTAAGATACAGAAAAAACAATTTAATATATTAATAATCTTTTAATAATTATTATTTAAGAATAACACATAACGAATAGAATACAAAATCAAAAGAGAATATTTCATATTTACATTGCATAGACTGTCAACCGTTTTATTAAAAAATTTCGTAACTTTGAGCAACACTTTCGAAATACTGTCAACGGAAAATTTTAGTAATACTAAACAATATTAATATAAAAACAAGTATTTTTCAACAAAGTATTATCGTAACTTAATTTTTTTATAAATTTATCGTCCAGGTAGTTATAAGAATTCAGTTCTACTAAATAAACATTTTAATTCCTTTGATGACATATTGTATGCAATTATCGATTGAAATAAGTAAATTTGCATAGTTTTGTGATTTGAAATTCTTTGATGGTTAGGAAAGTGCCATCTTGAACATAGTAACTCGCTCGACCCGCGCAGTCCCGGTCAGTTTCGTGCATCCAATATGGCTGGTCGAGGTGGTTACGAAGATTTAAGGTAAGTATAGACTGTAATTTCTTTTGTATACAATAATCATTGAGGTTTTTCTGAAACAGTGTAATGGTGGTATATGGTCAGTACATCAAACTAACAAAAGTATGCCTCGTTTCTTCAACAATCTTACGATTTTAAGGTTAAGTGAGTTTCGATTAGAGAGCAGCGCAGCAACTTGCAGATATGGTGCTTTCGACACGCGGCTTTATTTTGGCCGGCCAAACATTGATGTATTATACTTGCAACGTTATTGACGAAGGTGTTGCTTGATTGTTTGTGCAACACACCTCACCACTTGCTTGAACATATTCTTTATCGCAATGCAAAATATAATTGGGACTGTATTGTTTGTTAAAATCTATGATTAGAAAATTAATGTTTAAATGAATATTCTAAATATAAATTTCAAAATTTTATCACTATCACATTTTGAAGTACAGACATAAGATTTAATTTGTCTGAAATATATTCAATCATATAAATGTATTAATTCCACAGTGTCTCTTCATGTTATCAATTTTCTTTTTAAATAAATTTACAGACTCATTTATTAAAAATATGTATATACATATGTATATATATTCTTGTGAAAAACAATATCAGTAATGTCATTTCCCATGTGAAATTATTAATCAGTTATGGTTTTCTTGTTTCCATGTAGAGATTATGGAGGCGGATATCGTAATAACAAAAAGCCTTTGCCAAGTGAACCACCTTATACTGCATATGTGGGAAATTTGCCAAATGGTGTTGTTCAAGGAGATGTGGATAAGATCTTTAAGAACTTTAAAGTTAAAGGAATCAGATTGGTTAAAGATAAAGAAACTGATAGGTTTGTGTAACTTAATATAACTTAAAACAAAATTACAAGTGATGTTATTAATATTTTTTTCGTTTCATTTTTAGGTTTAAGGGCTTTTGTTATGTCGAGTTTGAATGTTTGAAAGATTTAGTAGATGCTTTGGAAATGGATGGTACAGTAGAAATTGATGGTAGTCTCGTTAAAATAGATATAGCAGAGGAGAAAAGAAATGATCGAAGTGGTTTCGATAGAAGAGGACGTGGAGGAGGTAGTGGGGGAGGTTTTAGAGGAAGGGATAGTGGTCGCGGTGGATATGGTGATGATTTTGGTAATTTTTTTATGCAAATACTTCTTTATAGCTCATGTTTAATGGTTAGATTGATTTACTTATTATAGTTATATTACTGTCTACTATTAATAAATTCGTAAAAATAGGTTAATAATATATTAGATTAACAGACATTTTAAGTTGTTCATTTGTAATATACAGGAGGTTATGGTGAGAGAGGTCAACACGGTGGTCGACAAGGTAGTACATGGGATATGAGAGGAAACAGAGGTGGTAGTAACAGTCAGTTTAACGATGATCCAAGTGGAGGAAGTCGAGATTGGTCTCATGGTGTAATGTCTAGAGGATATGGTGCTGCTGCCAGACCACCCATTCGTGGAAAAGGATCTGATCAGAAACCACCTCCAGGTTTGCTCATTTTCTATACAATATATTATAATTAACTGAAATAGCCTAAAAATTATTAATATTATTAACGTAGATACAACTGGAAGGAAACGTTTGGTACTAGCGCCGAGAACAATTGAAGCACCTGTCAATGCAATTGCTGAATCAAGTAAATCAAGTTCAATATATGGTGGAGCAAAACCTCGAGAGGAAAAACTTAAAACTTATGACAAGTAAAAATATTATTATGATTAACAGTTTCTGATTCCCTAAATCGGAGGGAATGGAACTTCCTCAACAAAAATTTTGAAATCAATGCGAGATTCTTGTTTTCTCACAGACAATGGGAAGAATCTCTTCAAAGCTGAAACAATGAAATTACAATAATTTTTATTTACCCCTAAAGGGGGGTGTCTTCCCCGAAAATTCATAAGGACAAAAGGTGAATTAATGAGACTCTTAGGTTCTACGCATTTGACATTTTTATTTAAAAATAAAATTTTCTTGTCTAATGCCCTCTCTATTTACATTAACTTCTTAGTTAAAATGAAATATAACAGCAAATTGGGAATTTAATGCACATACTATGTGCACAATGCAGCATGCTTCAATAGTGTTGCTATTAAAATAAGTATATATATATGTATGTATGTATATACATATATATATGTAAATATATATATATTTATGTAAATATATATTTACATATATTTACATATATATGTGTATATATATTTATATATGTGTGTATATATATATATATATAGATATATGTGTGTAAATCATAATTGTTGAGATGACACAAAAATACATTTTAATATTCATGTCAATTTCATGTTGGGTTTTGTATCAATGTGTAATAATACTGAGGGTATGTGTACAAACTATTAAAAATATATACTGTCATTGCATGTGTATTTGATCCCGTGCAAGCCGTATTTTCAAAAGCTGTACTCTGCAATAATCCCTATTACAAAGAGTACAAAGCATTGTCTGTATTATTTTTCCTTCCTTACAATTTTTATGTTTCACTTTAATACTGATCATTGTATGCGCTTGTTAAAATGGTTTGAGAATGATTGTTTAATAGGTAAAGTCGCATTTAATTAAAATTATTAAACAATTGTTTATTCGCTCTTAAAATAAATAATTATAAAGAATTAAAATATTTGAGTAATTGAAGAAATTTATACACCACCGAATAATACGAAAAATAATATGTCGATCATTAAGCAATAACATTATGTAACGAATTAATTAACTATGTTAGTAATAAATGTCGATTATTTGAACGAAGTACTGATGATTATGAGATAAATAAAGGAAAACTCGGAATAATTACAAATGCTATGTAAAACTATGCTTGTATATGATATTATTTCCTGAATAAAGTAGTCGTTTGCCTGGTATATTATGTATATGATGTATCATCAGAAAATTGGAATAGTAAATGATAAAAAGTTATGTGCAATTTGAATTGTAAACTATATGGAATATTCTCAACACATTTTGTAATCTATTCGTAAATATATTAAAACATTTATTCCGGCAATTTTTCATCAAATAATTCAATATTTAATTTTTGTTTAAATTTTTACGTATCTATGATATTTTAAATAAAAATATGGGAAAATAAATTACAGTTCCTAATTATAATTATACGTTTAATATTCATTTTTCATGATGAACAGGTCAACAAAAATAAAATAGTTATCTTATTTTTTATAGAACACTAGAGGTATTTTAGTTGCCACGCCTAAATTTCTCCCAATTGTAGAATATCTTCCTTCCCCCCACTTCGCACAGATATATAGTACATTTCCTGTACAGTCGGTACAACATCTTTCGCATTTCAATGAAGTTACAATAAAAGCTTTAAGAGTTTTGTTAGTTATGACTTTGCTCATCAATTAGTTAATAACAAAGGAGGAAAGGTGATGTGGATTGAGATAAAAGTTTTGAAGTAAAGTCACTTCTATGTCACTTTATTCAATGCATGCACATTCGGTATGGTCGTGATATCGCGTTCTGTCACAATACGGCGCCTGTTTGCTTGAAATTGGTTTCAGATTATTTTTTTAATATTCCAAGCCGCTACATAATCTGAAATTCTTTCCCTGTTCATTATTCCATTAGAAAACAATGTCGACTGAAAGTGTGAAAACTGTAAGTATTGTTTAAATAATATGAAAATGATTCGTGATATTTTTTTTTATCGTAAAAAATATTTATTATTCACCAAATTGATTAAATTTCGTTATTTTATATTCAATAGTTTGCTAGCCTTGAAACTCCTGGATATGTAGGATTTGCAAATTTACCTAATCAAGTACACAGAAAATCTGTGAAAAAAGGATTTGAATTTACGTTAATGGTTGTTGGAGAATCTGGTCTTGGTAAATCTACATTAGTTAATAGCTTATTTCTTACTGATTTATATCCAGAACGTGTAATTCCTGACGCGATAGGTAAGATTAATGTTGTATTTGTTTGTTTTATATGGATTTTATATTTTTTATAATGTTATTAACGTATTAATGTCATACAAATAGAAAAAACCAATCAAACTGTAAAACTTGATGCTTCTACTGTGGAGATCGAAGAAAGAGGGGTCAAACTTAGGTTGACTGTTGTGGATACACCTGGTTACGGAGATGCAATTGATAATACAGATAGTTTTAGAGCTATTATACAATATATAGACGATCAATTTGAAAGATTTTTACGCGATGAAAGTGGCTTAAATAGAAGAAATATAGTAGATAATAGAATACATTGTTGCTTTTATTTTATTTCTCCATTTGGTCATGGGTAAGAAATATATAATTATGATTTTATTTTAATAACAATGAGGAAAATGATAACTTCTTATATTCTTCAATTGTACTAGATTGAAGCCGTTGGATATTGAATTTATGAAACAGCTTCACAATAAAGTAAATATTGTACCAGTAATTGCTAAAGCAGATGTACTTACAAAAAAGGAAGTCTTACGCTTAAAAAAGCGAGTTATGGAAGAAATCGAGGGTAGTGGTATAAAAATTTATCCTCTGCCAGATTGTGATAGTGATGAAGATGAAGATTACAAAGAACAAGTTAGACAATTGAAAGAAGCAGTTCCATTTGCAGTGTGCGGAGCAAACACTTTGTTAGAAGTAAAGGGGCGTAAAGTACGTGGACGATTGTATCCATGGGGTGTTGTAGAAGTTGAGAACCCTGATCACTGTGATTTTATAAAATTAAGAACAATGTTGATGTATGTATTACTACTTTAATGGGTTATGGGCTATTTGGAAGTAAAAACAGATTATTATTTCTTATTTCTATATGTTTACAGTACCCATATGCAGGATTTACAGGAAGTAACACAAGAGGTACATTATGAAAATTATCGCAGTGAAAGATTGGCAAAAGGAGCACCTGTACCACCTCGCAGACAAACGTAAACTTAATGATTTTTATGTGTAAAATTATTTATATGTAGCATTAGAAACAGTTTTATTCATTCATTGAATTTTTCTGTAAACAGGATTGTGGAATCAGAGAAAGCCAATTCGGTATCTGAAAAGGATCGTATTTTACAAGAAAAAGAAGCAGAACTACGGCGTATGCAAGAACTCTTGGCAGTGATGCAAGCGCAAATGCAACAACAACATCCATAATTATATACTCGTTATGCACAGATCCATGAAGATACACAAATTCATCACCATTGCAGGTGCCAAAAACATATATTAAATGATTAATATGCTATTGAAGATACAATTGTAATGGGAGTGTATAATTCTTATGAATTTATTTGTGACGAACGTATTATATAAAGATACGTTTTTCAATTCAGTATTTCTTTTAACTACTAAGTCAAATAATATTATTCATATTCGAGTGTCTTAAAAGAGTCAAAACAGAAATGTACGATAAGTGCCTTGCATATTTCTTTTAAATAGAACAATTCGCAATCTCTCATTACTGAAATATAAATATTAAAGTAATAATTCATTGTATAAAAATAAATTTATGTAACACACAGCTGTTATAAACATTTTAAAGTACTTAGAAGATACAGTACAATTAAAATTTGATAAACGACTGTAGTAGTTATATAATAGTTATACAGTATAGGGAATATACTAAAATATGCACAATTTTTTAAGCATTATATGAAAAATCTCATATCAAAACAGATTTAAGAATTATTAATACAATTTGTATAGGTACATATATATCCCAATGTTCTCTGAATATTGATATTTTATACAATTGACAAACAAACTGAAAAAAAACATACAGTTTGACAGCCATATCTTCCAATGTTCCATGTATATTTTTTTAAGTAAAGCAAAAAGACTTTAAGACTGTTTTAGTATCAAACTGTCAGTAATAATTCAGTATACCTAAGAACTGAAAAATTTATTTTTTACTGTGATAGGCAATATCGTATAGAGAACATAGATTTGAACGTGTTTATGTTTCTGCAATATGTAAAGTATTATTTTTTATTTCAAAACAACCATGTATGTTATTTTTACTTAATATTAAATAAGACTAGCCATTAAATTCTTTCTTACAATTTATGTAAAAAGAATTTAAATAAATCAAATCGTAGCGTTATATTTAATAAATAATAAATTGTAAGAAAACATTTTAACAATGTAAGTGAAACAAGTATGAATGTATTACGTAAATTTATTATTTTCTTAACCATTGTACTTATTTGTATGCATTTTGGTACTGACAACATTGTCGCGCTATTGTATGTATTATACAGATACACTCAGAATGCGCTTTATTATACCTTTTTTATACAAATATATCGATTATAATTTGAGGAATTCATTATCTAATCCCTATGATTCATATAGTAGTCTATTGCAGTTGAAAATGCTGCAAAACCTGCTGCTCCAATTATACCTGCCTTTACACCGGCTGAAATATGAAATGAAATTAAGAAATATGTATTTCAAATTTGTTTACATTAATGTTTAACGTTTTAATAGCTATTGGTATCTATAGAGCTTCTTCATAATATGCTATTGATGCAGACAAGTATTTAATCAAGTATATTCGTCTGATGAATATACTAAAAATTGAATAAAAAAATATGGATTTATGAAAGTGCTGCATTGGTTGTGATTGAACTTTGATTGCAACGTAGTATTAATTTAATATACATAAATAATTAATACCTCTTAATCCTAATATTCCACCTGTAAATCCACCAGCATATGCAGTATTCTTCCAATCATTTTTACCTCTGTACTAAAAGAAAATTATAAAATATTTTTATGTATATATATAGTTATACATTTGCTTGTATCATTAATATTTTTTGAGACAATTGGGTGTTCTCAGATGAACTGAACATACTGTATAATAAAAATGAAAATACAATTTTATATAAATATATAGAAATATTACCGATTCTATTGAGCATTCAATTGCAGTAAATACACAACCAATCACAGCAAAGTTTTTTGCATAACTCGATATTGTAATTCTCATTTCTTTAAATGTTTCACGGACAGTTTGTACCTTTTCAATACTAGCATAATTTGGATTCACACTAGCTGAAAATAAACCTATTGCGCCTCCCAAAGCATATCCTAAAAATATCATTCTTTTAAATTACAGTCAGTTAAACAATAATTACTCAACACAATTATATAACATTATGTAACATACCTATGAGACAACTGCAAATACTTTTAAAAGTACAACTTTCTACTATACTTTCTATACGTTTCTCTTCGTTGCTTTTAATATACACTGGTCCTATAGTCCTTGGTATTACAATATTTTCTCTATATCTATGTTGATTATTGATGAGATAGACTGCTATTTTATCCCATTCTGCATCATTTAGAAAAATCCTTTTTTCACTATTTTCTGGTGGTTTGGGTGAATCCATAGTAAACATTTTTCTTTATGTAGTTTATACTTTTTATGGGAAATGAAGCCGCATTAGTTGATGTTTTAAAAGGTCAATAGAATTCCTTCAGATTTGTTGACAGTGAAAGCTAGAGTTTATAAGATATTTATTAGAAAGTTTCATTTTATACAAATATGTTTATAAATACAAGGAAAAATAGACTTATGATAAATACTAATAACTAAATTATATTTTTGACACGCTGTTCCCTTTAACCTATCAGTACTCGTTTCTATTAAATTTTAAATTGAAGTATGTTAAAAATGAATGTTTGTCACTTTAATATTAAATGATATTTTTATGTAAGGACAAAAAGCAATATCTCGATTCAAATAGAAAATGAATCTACAGTTTCTTTTTCGAAGAACGAACGTACCGCCTTACATTTGCTTTATTACGAATTTGGAAGTTATATATGCATACGTACTTATCAACATTCCTACAAGAATATATAAAATTATTCGTATTATCAGATGATAAAAATTGTTTTATAAGAAATTTATTTAAATTACATAATAGTAGAGAATATATAATCGTGAAACAAATTTTTATTCTAACTTTTCATTGCAAATATTCTAGAAAATGTCTAAGGAATGAAATATACTTAATGATATTTATCATACATATAAAAAAAATATTTTTTAATACAAAATATTAAAATCATACATTTTCGAATATATTAATTTGTCTTGCTGTAGATATTTTACATCCTTGTTTATAAGACGATCATGTGCAGTTTGACTTCTCAGAATGGCGCCAATATCCGACGATAATGACAGGTTACGTGCACGTGACAGTTATTTTATTGTCAAAGTTAAATAGCAAGATTTCAAATCTGTTGAATTAACTCATTGACAAACTAATAACGTGATTATACGATTAAGTGTGCTGTATAATATATTACTATTATGGAAGGAAAAAATCAAACTGAAGATGGTGAAAAATTTATTACTTACTTTATTTACATACAGTTCATATTCTTAAAAAAAGAAATTGAAATTTAATATATTGATATGTTTAGAGACTGATAATGTTATTGCGCTCAAGAACAGAATACCACTGTTAAAAGAGTTGTTTCATATACATGGAAAGGTTGGGGAAGGAACTTTTAGTTCTGTATTCTTAGCTACATTAAAATCTTCTGACGGATCTAAAAAATTTGCGTTAAAACATTTAGTTCCTACCCGTCATCCTGAAAAGATTGAACGTGAATTATTATGCATGCAACAAATAGGGTAATGGATATATTACATTATAATTGTAATTAATTATGAACCTAGCATAAAAATGATGTATGCAAATTTATAACAAACAGAACTTTCTTTTCAGAGGGAAAGATTATGTTGTTGGATTAGAATTATGTTTACGAAGTTGTGAAACAGTAGTTTTTGTAATGCCATATATGAGACATGATAAATTTTCGGTATATTAACATTTATATTTCAATGCAGTATATTTAATTTTATAATTTGATAACACTTTATCAATAATTTAATATAGGACTATGTAAGAGATATGACTGTTCAAGAAACAAAGGACTATATGATAGCATTGTTGACTGCATTAAAAAGAGTTCATCAATTTAGTATCATACATAGAGATGTTAAACCTAATAATTTTTTATATGATCGCTACAATCGAAGGTGATTACCTGTAACTCCTTTTTGTATAAAAAAGATATAGGATAAAATCAATATATTAGTTTCTTCTACTTTGTAGATATTTACTGGTTGATTTTGGATTAGCACAAGAATATGTTACTGAAAATAAATCTAATAATCCAAAGCCAAATAATGCTACCACACAATCTATCAAGCGGAAAAGATCGGATGAAGTATAACATTAATTATTAGAATTTGTATGATATTATTGATATCTTTATAATATGTTACATTTTATATTTTTCAGAATAGTATAAATCAATCTTTAAATTTAAGAAAAAAGGTGGAAGGAAAAATGGTTGGAAAATGTTATTGTTTTGGAAAACCTAAAGTTTGTTCTTTGTGCACTTCAAGGCCAGAACAGGCAGCTCCTAGGGCTGGTACACCAGGATTTCGTGCACCTGAGGTTTTATTGAAACATCCTTCACAGACACCTGCAATTGACATTTGGGCAAGTGGAGTAATGATGTTATGTATTCTCAGTGGTACCCAACCATTTTTTCATTCTCCAGATGATTGTACAGCTTTGGCAGAAATAACAACTATATTTGGGTCAAATAAAATGCAGCAATGTGCGCACAAATTAGGTATTCTAACAAAAAGTTTTATTATTTAATTTATACTGCAAATATTTTGTTTCCCTTCTACTTTTATTTTTGTTTATTTTTCATGTTTTATATATTTCTTTATCGATTTAGGAAAAAAGATTATCTTTTATGAAGATATACCAGGCATTGATATTGTATCTTTATGTCAGAAATTAAGAAAGAGAAGTAAGGGTTCGTTAAACAATAGTAGTGATCATAGCATGTATGAAAAGGTATTTTAATTTATTTGTTTATTTATAAACACAACTAAATATAAAAAATGAAAAGAATTCGAAAAGCTTTGTATAGTGCAGCATATTATATGTAATGCATCACATATATTTATTTATTTTTTATTATTTTTTAAGGTGTCATCGGATGTTCAATTTCCAAAAGAAGCTTATCATCTTTTGTTAAGACTAATGGACTTAGATTACAAAACTCGGCTTACTGCGGACCAAGCTTTACAACATCCATTTCTAAAATTATAATCTTTGTTATATTATAATAATTCCAGTTGTTAATTACTTTTGGCGGATTGGTATAAAGAAATATATATTAAGAGAAAAATGAATTTAACTAGATATTTAATTTTATTACAATGAAAAATATTGCATAGTTTATGCATACATAAAATGTATGTATGTATATAAACATATAAATACACAGTTTTTTATACAAAATAAATATAGATTTTTAAAAAATAAATAATTTTAATTACAATCATACTGCAAATTTATTCAACACTCTCCACATTATTTGAATTCTGAAGTGGTTGTTGTTCATTATTTGTAGTTCTTATGAGTTTCCACTCTGCTGCTGCTTCTAATGCACTGGCAGCAAGTTCTTTAATCTTTTTATTTTCTATAGATTCACTTTTTGTTAGAGCCATTAAAATTTCCATCACGTCAGTTTCAATTAATAATGCTGCAACATCTTTAGTACTTTTGATCATATTTGAAACAATCACAACTCCTCTGTGTTGTAAATCAGGGTTTGGATTAGCAAGTAGAAATCGTAGGGATTCTAACCATTCTTTCGAATCAAATATTTTACTACAGGATTTTGTACTAACTGATGTTAACATTGCTAAGGCTCCTGCTGCTGCCATACTTGTATTTATATCTTCATCTTCACAAAGAATCACCAGATATTTAACTCTATCGTTTTCTTGTTCATAATATTTTATAGTATCTTCGCACATCATTAAATTATTTATCACCTCAGTAGATGCACGTCTTAACATGTCATGATCCTCAAACATATAAACTTCTATTTTTTGGAAACCCCCTTCTTTTAATATCCGTCTTCTAATGCTATCATTGATACCTGCTAAATTACACAAAGCCATTAAGGCTTCAAAATTTTCAAGCGCAGAACATTCTGGATTTAAAAGATTTAGGAATGGTCGAACTACTTCCATTATTCTCTGTCCAGGAAAAGCAACTTCTGGATTTATTGTAATTCCTAACCGTGCAAGAGCTTGTGATGCTTGTTTCTTTCCTTTATCAGTTCCATCTAAAGCCAATGGTAAAAGAGCCTTTGCTCCACCTTGTTGAACAACAATTCCTCTCACTTCTGGTTGACTACAAATTGCATTGAAAACGCGCGCTATTAATTCTTTACTGTTTTGACTTTCCGTTTTAGAAAGGCTAACTAACGCGCTCGTAACACCAGCTTTGGCTAATGCAGTTAACCTCTTGTTTACAAAAGCAATGTCATCAAATTCATGTTCTTCAGGTATATGATGTTTTGCAAATTTTGCTAGCTCTATCATTTCTGGTATCATTTCTTGCTTGTCATAAGCGTTACATAAATTAACTAATGTCGTAACGACACCATAAATTACGGACTGATCTCCAGTTTTAGCGAGTTCTATCATTGCTTGAACTGCTGCATCATCTTCAATTAATTTTTCTTTAACTTCAGCATCGAAAGTAAGATAAGACAATCCTTCTACTGCCCATTTTCTCATGTCTTTCTGCTTCTTCGGATTAATTAAGAATCTCCTACAAGCTTCTGCTAATTTTATTGTTGCACCATCTGCAAATGGTCTTATTGTGGCATCTGAACCACCCGAACTACCCAACTTACACAAACCTACTAAAGCGCGTACTTTGACAGAATCATCTTTAGATTGATATAACTTTTTCAAAATATTTACACCTTGATTTATAATTGCAGCAGCTTTGTCTTTTTTAGATGCAGCAGCAACTATACATTCACAAGCAACTTTTTGTTGTAATAGGTCATCTGTACCTGCCATTACAAGTATCATTTCTAAAATACCTTCTTTAGCAATTATTGTGTTTCCAACATCCAATGGACCAAGCAATAAAGTAGTTATAGCAACTACAACGCGGACCTATTTAATATGCAAACAAATGCAAGTTTATGTTAGAAACTTATGTCTTTTGCAATAAAAGTTTCCCAAAGTGTAAAAAAATTGACTGTTTACCTTAGATTCTATGTCTGGCGTAAGTAGTTTATCTTTAATGAATTCATCAATAGCATTTCTGAATTTTTCTTTTGCTGCATCATAATACATATTTTCGTAAATTCTTGCTAAGCACACACTGGTAATAGTTCTAGTAGATGCTGTAATATCCATTGAAGATTCATACTTATATTCTTCAAGTTCACTAGCTACTTCCATTAAACGTTGTAAACCATCTAGCTCCACTAGTCGTTCTGCCCAATTTAATGCAGTATAATGAATATTGCGTGTAATAAGTTCTATAATTGCATCTCTAGCTAATCCAGAAATAGTTCTGCTTGTTACACTGTATAATAAACAGGATAAAATGGTATCAATTTGTTTACTATATTTATCACATAGTTCTTTATTTGGCTTTGTATCTGGTTTATTATCCATACCACTATAAACATTAAGTATTGTCTGCAACATAGTTTCAAATGTAGATATTATTATTGCCTGTATATTGCTAAAGTAACAACGTTCCTTTGCATATATTAGATTTACGTACCTGTAAGCAATACTGAGCAGCATTTACTCTTTCTGTAAGTTTACTATTAATCATTTCTAAATACCAGGGTATACCAATGTCTTTCAAAGTAAGTTCAGTCCGATTAATATTATCTCTACATAATTCAGCAATGATACGAATTGCAATTATTATTATCTCCTCATTTTTTTCAAGTTTCAGAAGTTTTATTATTTTAGAAACAATTCCATTCTTAAACATAACTTCTGCTCCTGCCCTTTCTCTTGCAAGAACAAGCAAATTATTCATTGCTGTTTCTCGATTTTCGTCCTTTCCTTCTATTCCAAAAGCTATATCCATCATTTGTGATACCTGAAGGAAAATATAATTATATATTGCATTATAAAAAATTCTAATATAATTTATCGTGTTATATAATTAATGTTACTATACATACTTTTGAATGAACACGAGAACTTTCTTTATATCTTTCCTGTACAATTTCATGTAATCGTGCTGCTAAAGGTTGAATTGCTTTGTTGCCTGGATCTACTGAAATAATGTACCTAGCATCACGATATGCTTCTTCAAATCTTTCTAATGCTTCCAATGCTTGACATCTGCGAAACAATGCTTTCGGATCATTTGGGGATATTTTCAAAGATTCATCACAATCTTCGATGACATTATTGTATTTCCCTTGATTCAGATACACAGCAGCACGATTTTTATAATATATAGCTTTTTCAGAGCTATCTTCATTTGTAAGTTTTAATGCATTCGTATAACAACTTAATGCTTCTGACCAGTTCCCTTTCTTAAATTCCTCATTGCCTGCTTCTTTCCATTGTTGTGCAGTTAGATTTACTTTTGTCATATTGAATGACCTTTTAAACTAAAAAGTTATTTTAATATAGCTTTCCATACGAATTTCCATGAAATAAAAATTAAATATTATATATTAATTATAGAATTAAATGAATCAATGACAATTTCGAATTTAAATGGACAAAATTAAATAACACACGATAATAGTAAGAATGTTGATATAAATGGTTTAATTATATACTTACACTTAACAATGAATTTTATGTAGCGTCAATTTTTTGTTAAAACTTGAATGTGCACTTTTTGCTTTGATTACCGGTAACACCCTCGAAAGTCTGCAATGCAGTACTGAGACTGCTACCGCTTTTGCATCGTGTTAAAAAGGCTTCAGAAATGGCTAGACGTTACTAGAGTATTTCAAGTTTATTTTAAACCGCGTTCGCCCCACGATCTGAACAAAAATATAATCGCCGGTTAAAATAAACTTCCCACACTGTAGGTATCAATGTGTTACCTTCGCTACAGTATCGGCAATCCTATGACTAAATTTCCCTAGGAGTTTTTAAACTATAAATTGGTGGTAAAATTTAAATGTCGCGCCATTGTGTGTTATACATTAGGTATGTTCAACTATTCCCTCAAGCTAGTAACTGTCAATCAGCGTTCCCCCATTACCTCTACTTTAGGAGCTGTCAGAGACTGTGTATATGTGTGCAGTTCCATGTAGTGTTCAATACAAACAGGTGAAAGCAGGTACGAAAAGAGTAACTTGTCGTGAGGGGAAAGATCCTAGAAAGCTCGCAAGCTCCCTATTCGACCCCTCGTGTTATAGATCACGCATTGACATGAAAATAAAATGTTACAAAATCATAATCATAAAGAGCAGCTATTTTTTAACATACTTTTATTTAGATTTAAGAGTTATTTCAATTATCAATATAAATAAATTATAATTTTGCAATTTTTATTCAAGATTATTTGTCTAAAATATTTACAAAATATAACAGCATTTTAAAAATTTTTCTTCTCTTTTTCTTTCCTCTCTCACAAATTTTCTTTTAACCCTGATTTTAAATGTTACAACATATGATCATATAATGTAGAATAAAAATGTTTATAATTCTTTAACAGAAAAGGAATTTTAATAATATTTACTAGTACAACTATCATTTATATTTTTTAATATTGCTACGAAAATATGAAAATATAATTATACAAATTTAATATGACAAACTACACTTGGATAAATAAATAAAATGAAGATATTGAAAAAAGTATTTTATTTATTTCACGTTCTTTATTACATTGCATTCTCCACATGGCAGTTATATTGCAGCGGCATACAATGATTTTAAATTCTTGTTTCTAATTCCTTCGTTATGTATGAGTTTATAATTTTCCATTAGATACTTTTCATCCATCAGTTTAAGATTACTATTAATTTGGAAGTTATGAGCGAAATTCGAAATTTAATTTTATATTATATTGCTAATGACATTATTTGTAATAGAAGTACACATGCAGGAAAAATATACATTTACGTATAAGTAAACAAATTTGATTTAATAATTAAACTAATTCGAAATTGTAGTAGAAGTGATTGCCTATATTATTATAATTTGACGAAAATTCGTTTATGGGATATTATTTTTAATTACATGTATGTCCAAAAATTCTGCTAAGTGATAAAAATAATCAGTTGATTGAACTAAAATATATTACAAGATTAGTTAAATAATCACCACACATTAATCTATTCAAACTTTCGCAAAAACTGTTATGATAAATGTATTTTGAGACTGATTTTAATCGTAATTATCTTTGAACTGGAAATAAGAATTAAATTAATGTTCATGTATAAGTTTATATTATCTAAATTATAATTTTATAACTGCATTTTATAAATGTTAATATTTTGGAAGAGATCTTGGATCTTAATATAAATCAATATTTCTAATAGTTATAAGGAGTATTTAATGTTATATTAAAAGTATGTGTCAATGTAGTACGTTTTAAATATAAAAGATCGCAACAATTTTTACACAGTATGTAAAATATACTTTTGTTTATAAAGCTTCTTAATAGTCTTCATATAATTGTTCTGATATAATAATAACAAATATTTAAGATAAACAAATTTTTTATTAAATGTATTTATCAACAACTTTGTAATTTTTATGTAACTATTTGTTGATTTATTAAGAAGCATAATTAAAAGTAAAGCGAAAATATTATGCGTCCTATTTAAAACTTTGTCAATTTAAAAATATTATCGAAAGTAGATTGTGTGAGTTGCACAAGTAAATCTTATACCAAAATATTTTATTTCTAATCATAAGAGTTTCTGCGACAAATTTTAGATTGACTATGAATGGTGATAAATAATTATTACTGAACTAGTCTCCAAAGCAGAATCTATTTAGAACATACTGCAAAATCATATTAAGATAAGCTACTTACATTATTACTGATTAATAAAAAATATAGTACGAATGGTGATAACTGAAATGTTGCGAGGTTATGACATAAACAGAAATTTTGTTATTAACAAAATATGATGATAGAAGAGATGAGTTCGTTTTATTTCAGTGGACTATTTTTATTGAATGTTTCAGCTGCCTCTAACTTCCGTTGACGATGCTTCTTTACCTCGCTGCATTTTTAACCATTCAACAAATTCATCAAGCATCACTGGCCCTGTAAAAATTACGTATATAGTAAGTGTTACAGTATCAAAAAATCACTGCTAGCAATATAATGAAAATACATACATGCTCCATCTAAATCATAATTAGATAAGTCGTGATTGATTGTACGAGAAAATTCTAAAATGTTGCACCATTGATCTTTATTAATCACTTTGTACTTCGATTGATCTAGGAACTGGGCAAATTGTGTAAAAAGTGGCCAATGTTTTCCCAAAAGTAATTGTAACATAACTCTAGCAGTTTCCATATCCATGCTTCTTTGATCTTTGTCCTGAAATGTAACAGTATTAATAAATATATGTGCAAACATTTAAATATATTTTGAATAACTTAATGACTTACTCTAGCAAAATCATAAGCATATCTGTAAATTCCTTTGAATGTATGTGGATCATTTAATTGATTCCTTAGGTACTCAAGTTTTTGTTGTATTTTACTAATAGAATCACACTGTAATTCCGAAAGGCCTTTCAACCATTCACTTAATGTAAAGAAACCCATCTGACGGGCATTCATTTTATATGCAAGAACAAGCATCACTACATTTTCAGGTTCTACACCAATGTCTTCACAAAATTTTTCCATCCCTTCAGGTCCAAGAGTGTCTGAATCATCGGGTGTTGTGTATTCTCTAAACCAAGTGATACAACGTTTTTGGGAAAAGGATGAAGTACTTGAAACATCTTCAGTTTTTGTGTAACGTCTTGCACTAAAAGAAAATGCATCAAATTTACTGTCTTCATAACATTGAAATTCATAACATTAACATCGAAAAGTATCACCATACCAGTTTTATCCACAATATTATTTTATAGAATTAAATAAAATATTTTTACATGCCCAAAAATATGTAGATTTTAAAATACCATACTATTTTATCTTTCAACATTATGGTTATTAGTGTAGATACTTGTAAACATTTTATGTTACTTCAAGCACATATATTGTAACTTTTATTAACATAAAAGAAATACTTTGATACTATTAAATACTTAAAGTAATAAAGTATTTATTTATAAAGAATTATTGCTATGAAGTTTAAGTTCATAATGCTATCGATTTCAATGCAAGTAATATAGATTTCTAAATATTCTTATATAGTTTACCTAGATGTATGTCTAAGTCGTTTAGATGGATGCCTTGGTATACCCTCGTCTTGGGCACTAGGTGACATTTCAATAGAAGTATGATGATGATTTGTGCTAGAGGGCGCTCTACGCTTGCTGCGTGGCATCCCTCTTTTAACTAAAATCAAAATCAAATGATTTTATAAATAAATATGACACAATATACATTAAGTAATAACTAAAATACAAATACATCTGCATTTGCAAGATACACAAGAATCAATAGTACAACAATTAACATAGAATACAAAATAAAAAGTATATTAAACATTATCAAACTTTTCATTGAATTCTTAATTTCATAAAATTATTAAGAAACAAGATAAACTTCAATTTCATTTTTGTATTTGAAAATTAATCTTTAAAAAGCAAAACATATATAAGCAACCTTCATAACTAATAATAACTAATGTGTTAATATTTCTAATATAATAAATATACATGTTTATTAGTATGTATTATCATTGCTTTTGATAGATACTAAATATAACAAGATAACATATTGTAACCATATTCTTTTTATCTTTGTACATACATCAAGTTTCTATAAAACGTTATTGACATAATTATTACTGTAAAAAGATTTCAATTTCACTTAATTAAGAAACAAATGAATATAAACTGATAAAACATCGTTTTAAAAATTAACCCAAAAAAAAATTACATAAAATGACAAAGAAAGATTTGTGTATATTTTAATTTAATCATAAAATGAAAGGGATGTTTTACTTACCACGCAGCAAAGACGTAAGTAATCAGAAAAATTAAGGAGATTCAAAAGATCCGTAATACACCTGGTTTGAACTGGCTAAACTGACATCTCCTTCCCGTGTTACAAGTTCGAGGTTAGGTTCAACAATTAATTGAAGTATCACGTAACTTTCAACTTTCCTTACACTAGTTTTGACCGCTTTGTACATGTGATATTGTAAACGAATACCTAAGAGCCATTAATACATTGCATAAGGAAAACTAATTTGAAATTATGCTTGTAATGTAGAAATAGGTGTAGGTTACTACATAAAAGAGCTTATGTATGCAAATTATTTTCAGCTACGACACGAGACGCATTTTAATACTAGACATTTACAGGAAAGTAGATCGATGATTACCGCGTAATTATGAAGAAATATATAAATGTATAATGAATCGAAGTGACCCTCCCTACCTTGTTCAACGAATCACTAGAGTAATTGCACCAGAAATGTATTTCTCACAGTCAAAAGTCAACATCAATATAAATCTTGGTTTGCAGTTCGGTCTATAAAAATAACATTAAACATAGTGTCAGCGTTGTCAAATATTTAACGAATCTACTAATTTGGATATCTTGTACTACCTAAACGCTGCACAGTTAAATAAAACTTTTTCACAGATCCGCTTTATTTCATTTTATTGCCGTTTCGAGTCAGCATGCCTTTTTCGCAGGGATGCCAAACACAGAATCTATTTCTCACTAGTGGGGGTAACTATTGGAAAAAAGCGAACATTAATGTATTGTTATTATTAAATAATCGGTGTTATTTCGATACTATCGATACATACTTATAAATTAAATTAATGTAAGAAATATAATATAGTACTATATATAGAATATAAGATATTTTAATATCTTGAAAAATAGTGTTTCTAATCGTTATGAAAAAGATCTTTAACCATTAAAATTTAAACTATTATTGTACAATAACAAATAATCAAATTTTAATGATTCTTTTTGAATATCACTTAACAAGATAATATAAACGATATATTCTATATAGAACCATACAAGTAAGTTATATTTTCACATAAAAAAGTGTTGATGTTTCTATTAATGTAATTTCTGTAATATCAATTAAGAAAGTATTAACTGTAGATATTACTTACCTCCGTAGGTACATTGAAATACTCAAATTACCGACGAGAAACAGAATAGTCCGGACACCCAATGTAAATGTTTACCAACAGAGTATAAATAAATACAAATAAATAAATAAAAAATATATATTCTTTTCTATTTTCCTGCTGCAATATTAAATATTTCAAACCATCGAACACGAAATCCCATAAAATGCTCAGTCTATCCTATTTCTCAATAGTGATCCCTCTTCAAACGTCTGAAATATTCTATAAAAAAGCAAACGTTTTTACCAAGGAAAATCTACCTTACCAATAATCATTTCTCCTGTTACCGACACCGAAAAAATTCCTACCTCTTATCCGTCGCGATGCGTCGCGTTTGCGATGGTTCAGAAGAGCCACGTAATCAATAACGCAGCGCGATTAGTAATCCGCGCCCCCACGCAACGGGGTCGAGCCAATCAGCGCGCGAGTACGCGTAGAGCCGTGGCTCGGAGTTCGTTGGCAGTCAGTCGGTAAGGAGTACTCTGCGCGGCTGTCCCGTTGGTTTCGATGTACACGCTCGCATAGAGATACTCACGCCTTCTATACAAACCTACATTGAAATCGTTGTCAGCTGAAAGGACTCACGATATGAACCCGCGGAAAATCGACGTGGTCGCGTCACCCGCGTGAACGGTGCGGACAATTGCGCGGGTGATCGCGTCGCGGTGCCGAGGCAGTCGAGGTTTCCCCGTTGGAAATCGCGCGCAGATTTCCGACGGAGCTGTCAGGCTCGCGAACTTCGGTGTGCACCACGGGCTGCTCGATTAGAATGTCGGCGTTGGCCGCGTCCTCGACGTCGCCGCGACAGTGAGAACGACGACGCGCGCCCGCGATAAGGAGCCGGCCGAGTGTCGTTGATAAAAACAGCTCCAGGCTGAGCCGTGTTCGCGTCGAGAAATTTAGAGACCACCGAGGAAAATGGCGGACCTCGAGGCGGTGCTGGCCGACGTCAGCTACCTGATGGCCATAGAGAACAGCAGGGACACCCCGGCTGCTCGTGCCAGCAAGAAGATCGTCCTGCCAGATCCCAGGTCTGCGTTGTAATCGATATACAGAATCTGTCGTGGTTTTTTTCGCGATACGCCTATTAACCCTCTATAGACCCGACTTTCAAGTCATATACCAATATATTTCCATCTCGTTGATTTATCTCATTCCGCGTAGCAATGTGGCGAATTGAATTAAGTAGTTAATTCATTTCGACTTTTCTACGGTCACGCGTGAAAGTCATTGTAATTTTGAAATTATGAGGTATACTTGTTTTAATAATTATCGCAACTATCGAATATATCGTTTATTTGTGTTTACAGGGTCATGTTTGATAATTTTTTACTGTGTATATTTGTTTATAGTTACAAAGAAAAATTCGGACTATAGAGGGTTAAAGTAACGCCTTCCTTTAGCGATGGGAACGATACGCTCGTAACCTAGTGCCACTAGCAATTTTCTCGAACATGTATACGTTCCATTTATCGTTCTCAATATTTCGGGAAACTTTGGACATTGTTTATCAATTTTATTCTATGATGTATGAAGCAATTTTGAAAGTTTCATTGAATATTCTTGTAACCGTACAGGTGCTTAGGTATAGAACCATGGCAGCTGTGAAAAATATTTAATGATCATTGTACTGGTGGTTTGACAAATTTATAGAAATTATTAGTGTCATTTTACAGGAATCTTTTGTTTTGAGAAATTCTGTGCGCGATGGTTTAAGATAACGTGCTTGGAATATTGGTTTACTTCCTGTTCCGTTAGCGTTTGTATGCAACGTACGATTAACTATTTTGTTAAATATCGTTTCGTTGAATGATCGTTTTCGATACAAAGAACCTTTCACGTTAATTCTTATTGAATAGCATTTAGTGGTTACCACCAACTACTTACATCGATTGTACGCACGCAAATGGTGATTGAATTAGGCCCATTACTACGCCTCACCACGTTTCTTGCCCCTCCCTTCTTCGGCTCCGTATTCGTCTTTGTCTGGCAGAGGCTCACCAGCTTCGGTCCTCTCTGTTCCTCTTACGCATGCGCGTCGAAACGACGCTGCGATACCCTCTCTCACACGGTTCGCCGCTCTAGCGCGCCATTTCGGAAAAATGTTTACGTACGATAAAGGCGTTTATAATCACTGCGGATCTTCCTGCAAATCCAAATGTTTAAGAAAATAAGTTTAAGTTACATTATCTTAAATAATGTTTAAGATAATTCTATTTTGAAAAATAGAATTATACAGAAAATAGTGTTTCTTAATGATCATTATACAGAACACTACGCTCCGGTTATTTCATATATTTTTTTCAACCGTGCATTCTATGCAACCTTGAAATTTTTAATTTCCCACAAATGCATAAAGATCCGCAGTCTAATAATCACCAGTGATAATTGTTGACATTGATCAATTAATAGCACGTTTCTCTATTAACTGATTTTAAACCACCATTGGATATATTTACGTCTTAATAATTTATTATAAGACACGTTTAAATTGAATACATTTATTGTTTGAACAATTTTAAACTACTTCAAATAAAAATGGGAATAGAAAATAAGAATAATTTGCACTCGATGAGATATAAACGACGTTCTTTAAAACTAACAAACAAGAAAACGTAGGTAAATTAACCCCTTGCCCTACAATATCGTGTCAGACTCGTGACGAAGATTTTAAATAAAATTTAACAAACATAAATATTTACACAAATTACATATTATTCCTCTGCTATCAATGATTATATTTTAGAGCACATGTTTACACAGAATAAGACTGCAATTTTCTTTTATTTTCAATAAATTATTAATAATAAAGTAGTTAGGTCGATCAGAGTTCAGAAAGAATTCATAGGGCAAGGAGTTAACAAACAAAGCTGTTTCATTTCAGTATTTCACGTATCGACTCGTTATATGAAGCATAGTATTTTACACGTAACTCTCGATTTACGCGAAAATCCGTTCCACGTGGTTCGTTTTACGCGAACGAAAATCGCGTAAATAGAGTCCGTCGGTACAAGAGAAAACGAAATATTGACGAGAAAAACTGGTAGAGGCTTTAGAAATACATATTTATTTCACATAGCTTAACAAAAGAAATAATAATAATGACATTTTAGAAAATAAAATTATATTTTATTCGCTGTTACTAAATTCAGATCGCGTAAAAACTACCGCGTAATAGTGTTCCAATTTATTGCGTAAAAAAGGGGTTTGCTTAAAAAAAAGTCCGCGTAAATCGAGGTGTATATAAGACTATAATTTTGCTATATCAAATCTGGTGGTGGCTGACAGTCACTTCTCGAGTGCAAAGGGTTAATACATATAATAATATAGATACGTTTGAAATAATAATAACTTTATTACAAAATAAACATTACTTCACTGAATTTCTACTGTTATGTTACGATATAAAGTTTATTTATTTTTGGATATTATGCTATGGACATTAATTTTTTATTAAAAATGTTGACGCCTCTCTATGCACTCCGCGATTTCTATGCACTTGCACAATTATTTCGACCAATTATCGGTCTTCAATCCTCCCACACCTCGAAGTAGCTAATAACATTCCTCTGGAGTCTTTTGCGACTTGAAACATTAATATTCATTTCCTAGTTTCACATTCAATGGAATTCTTTTTCCGAGTTTAATATGATAAACCAAAACATGTAGTACACGAATGAGAAACACGTTTTATAATTTTGTCTAAGCTGAAGTTCTATGTATATAAATGTTCTCCCTGAGGTGTTTTCCTTGAGTTTACGCATTCACGTCTCACGTGGTTCTGCGATAAATCTTCGCCTCAGTGCAAAAAGATCGCGCGAAGTGCATGAACAATTAAGGAAGAGCGAATGTGCATAGAATATGCATATTTTCGCTTGTTCATGTTTTATGCATTTGTTGATTACATCATTAAATTTGTTGGTTTGAAAGAACTTATCAGGCGTTCACTCTTTGCATTCGAAAGTTTTTCACTGGAAATATTCAACACTTTCTGGGGAGATATAGACGACAGTTGCTTGAAACTAATTGAACGATAATTCATAGATAAATTAAGCAACGAAGTTATTTTATTGAAGTATTTCACATAGCAATACAACTTTTCAATTAACACGTTAGATACCATGGAGGTCACTGGTGACGCCAACCAAATCGAATTATTATAATTCATTCGATTAAACTATGATTATTTGAAAACTTTTCTATATTACAAGTAATACCACCTTATACAGTGACATTTGACAAGATAAACCTGCAATAATAATAACGTAATTCAATTGTATAAGTTGTTGGTACATTATTTTCCTTTTGTATAGTTTTTTCGGCAAAATCGTGCGACACTCAACGTGTTAAAATACTAAATATTCAACTTGATAGTTTTGTTGCATCAAATCAGGTGACTGAGAAACATCTCTCGAGTGCAGTGGGTTAATATGAATTCTGCAGAATTAAATTTATAAGAACCACGTGCCGCTGGATAAATTTGAAAGAATAGTATAGGGCAATAGAGAGCAATAGACAAAAAAGACTTAGTTTTCGAATGTTTAATGAAGATGTGTGTTTCAGAAACATTTTGGACAAGGTAAAAATTGTTTAAATCACGGTCGGAAAAATATATTGAAATGATCTTTGTTTCATTCAAGATGATTATATAAATCTGAATAATACAAGTGATAATGTTATTATTGCCATTATTGGTATGTATCTGCGCAATATGAGGTGTCTAATATGACGTAATTATGCTGTTTAAAATGCGTGATGTGAAGAACGGATTGAAAATTGTATGAACAATGTTAATAAGCAAGACTTGTTCGTGATGTTAATGAAAGCAATAATATTTTACAAGGAAATGCATGATTACTTTGTGTTTAAATTTCAAATCATTACCGAGCTTTATCAATTTATATGGTGCAAATTATTTGTTTGTCGAGCAGAACACGGTGCCCTAAAATGGAAATTAAAAACAATTTTTCATGTTACAAACAATATTGCCTCTAAAAATGTCCAATCACCAAATGATTCCTTTTCTTTTCCCTTAAATTTTCCCTTTCCTCTTTCCTGTTCCTTTTTCTTCAAATTTCTTCTTTCCTGTTAATCCTAATTTCCTGTTTTCCAAAATTTTTCTTTTTCCTGTTTCTCTTTTTCAAATTTCTATTTTCCTTCCAAATTTCCACTGACCCGGAAATCCAGATTGTCTTTCCAAAGTAGTAGCTATTGCTTTTGTTGCACTCTGTTCATATCGGTATCCTTGAAGAGGTTAAAGACCGAAGAACAATCATAGCAGGCCGTGCAAAGAGAAGATCCGCTACGGGAGCATCGGCCTTTGTTTTTCGGCTGTGTGCGCCGGTATACGTGGCCGGCCGCTCAGCTGACTGGGATTCGAACTGCACTGCCCGGAAATTGAACCATTAATTTCCGGCCCTTTTCTCTTCTGAAATGATAGGCTCTGTTTCCTACGAACGAAATCTTTGTTTACATGATGCCGAGATACGTTGTCACTTGTACTTACTTGAAGAACATGTACATTCTATTCTTTTGAGACACCCTGTATGTATTAACGTCTGCATTACAATACCATTTCTTTATTTCTTCAGTTTCATGTTTCTTCGTTGGAAACTGTTACATATTTTTGGAACACCTTGTATATAGTAACAATTAGTACCTTATTTCTTCATATCAGTTTCACATTTCTTCTTTGGAAGCTGTTCTATATTTTAGGTTCTATTTTTCTTCAGTTTCATGTTTCTTCTTTGGAAACTCTTTTATAATTTCTGGACACCCTGTATGTAACAAATAGTACGGTTTCTTTATTTGCATTAATTTCAACAGCACATGTCTTCTAGGAACGATAGAATAAAGTGTAAAATACCTGTAAATCCACCGTTAAATCTATCCACGTTCTTATTATTGTTCCTTACCGGATCACAACTAAGTAAACATAATTAATTGAACAAGAGAAAGAAGAAAAAAGTAAAAAAAAAAAGAAAGATATTTAACGCTAAACGATGTCAGTCGGTTCGTTTATTTCGCTGCA